GAGTGAGACCCGTCTCTACTATAAATAGAAAGAAATTAATTGGCCAAATAATATATATAGAAAAAATTAGCTGGGCATGGTGGCGCATGCCTGTAGTCCCAGCTACTCGGGAGGCTGAAGCAGTAGGATTGCTCGAGCCCAGGAGTTTGAGGTTGCTGTGAGCTAGGCTGACACCACGGCACTCACTCTAGCCTGGGCAACAAAAGCAAGACTCTGTCTCAAAAAAAAAAAAAAAAAGAATCAACATTGTTAAAATGTCCATACTATCCAAAGTCATTTACAGAGTCAATGCAATTCCCATCTGGCTGGGCGTGGTGGCTCACGCCTGTAATCCTAGCACTCTAGGAGGCCAAGGCAGGAGGATCGCTCAAGGTCAGGAGTTCAAAACCACCCTGAGCAAGAGTGAGACCCCGTCTCTACTATAAATAGAAAAAAATTAATTGGACAGCTAAATATATATATATATATATATATAAATTAGCCAGGCATGGTGGCGCATGCCTGTAGTCTCAGCTACTTGGGAGGCTAAGGTAGAAGGACTGCTTGAGCCCAGGAGTTTGAGGTTGCTGTGAGCTAGGCTGATGCCATGGCACTCTACCTGGGACAAAAGAGTGAGACTCTGTCTCAAAAAAAAAAAAAAAAATGCAATTCCCATCAAAATACCAATGTCATATTTCACAGATCTAGAAAAAATAATGCTACACTTCTTTTGGAACCAGAAAAGAGCCCGAATAGCCAAAGCAATCTTAAGTAAAAAGAACAAATCTGGAGGCATCACATTACCAGACTTCAAACTAAACTACAAGGCTATAGTAACCAAAACAGCATAGTACTGGCACAAAAATAGAGACATAGATGAATGGAACAGAACAGAGAATCCAGACATAAAACCAATTTATCTTTGACAAAGCAGAGAACAGTATACACTAGGAAAAACAAGCCCTATTTAATAAATGGTGCTGGGAAAATTAGATAGTCACATCCAGAATGAAACAGGATCGATATCTCTCACTACTCACAAAAATTAATTCAAGATGGTTAAAAGACTTAAATGTAAGGCATGAAACCATAAGAATTCTGGAAGAAAATGTAGGAAAAGCTCTTCTAGATATTGGCCTAGGCAAAGAATTTATGAAAAACACTCCCATGGCAATCACAGCAACAACAAAAATAAATAAATATAAATTGATTAAATTAAAAAGCTGCTGTATAGCTAAGGAAATATCAACATAGCAATAGACAACCTACTGAATGAGAGTAAGTATTCCCAGGTTATCCATCTGATAAAGGGCTAATAACCAGAATCTCCAAAGAATTCAAGCAAATGAGCAAGAAAAAAACCAAACAACTCCATTAAAAAATGGGCAAAAGACATAAACAGAAGCTTTTTAAAATAAGATAGACAAATGGCCAATAAACATGAAAAAATGCTCAATGTCACTAATCACCAGGAAAATGCAAATAAAACTACTGTGAGATATCACCTTACCTCAGTTAGAATGGCTATTTATTTACTGAGACAGAGTCTCACTCTGTTGCCTGGGCTAGAGTGCTGTGGCATCAGCCTAGCTCACAGCAACCTCAAACTCCTGGACTCAAGCAATCCTCCTGCCTCAGCCTCCTGAGTAGCTGGAACTATGAGCATGTGCCACCATGCCCAGCTAATATTTTTTATTTATATATATTCTTTAGTTGTCCAGCTAATTTCTATTTCTTTAGTAGACACGGGGTCTCACTCTTGCTCAGGCTAGTCTCTAACTCCTGAGCTCAAACGATCCGCCTGCCTCAGCCTCCCAGAGTGCTAGGATTACAGGCATGAGCTACTACACCCGGCCAGAATGGCTTTTATCAAAAAGTCCAAAAATAGTAGTTGCTGGCATGGATGCAGAGAGAAAGGAAAGCTTCTACACTGTTGGTGGGACTGCAAATTAGTACAACCTCTATGGAAAACAGTATGAAGATTCCTCAAAGAACTAAAAGTATACCTACCATTTGATCCAGCAATCCTACTACTGGGTATTTACCCAAAGGAAAAGAAGTAATTTTATCAAAAAGTCATTTTATCACATCTGTAGGCTGGGCGTGGTGGCTCATGCCTGTAATTCTAGTACTCTGGGAGGCTGAGGCGGTGGATCATTTGAGCTCAGGAGTTCAAGACCAGCATGAGCAAGAGCAAGACCCCATCTCTACTAAAAAATAGAAAGAAATTGGCTGGACAACTAAAAATACATAAAAAAAATTAGGCGGGCATGGTGGCACATGCCTGTAGTCCCAGCTACTCAGGAGGCTGAGGCAGACGGATCACTTGATCCCAGTAGTTTGAGGTTGCTGTGAGCTAGGCTGACGCCACAGCACTCTACCCGAGGCAACACAGTGAGACTCTGTCTCAAAAAAAAAAAGACATCTGCATTCAAATGTTTATTGCAGCACAATTCACAATTGGAAAGATGTGGACTCAACCCAAATGCCCATCAATTCATGAGTGGATTAACAAAATGTGGTATATGTATATACCATGGAATATTACTCAGGCATAAAAAGGATGAATTAATGCCTTTTGCAAACAATTTGGATGGAACTAGAGATCATTATCCTAAGTATCTAAAGAATGGAAAAACAAATACCACATGTACTCGCTATTAAATTGGAACTTACTGATGAGCACACATGTGCACAGAGAGAAGTAAAACTTCATGGCAATCAAGCAGAGGGGAGGGACGAGGAGGGGATGGGTAAAAACCTACCTAACAGGTACAGTGAACACTATCTGGGTGATTGGCACACCCATAACCCTGACTCAAGCATTAAAAAAGCAATCCATGTAACCAAGAACATTTGTATCCCCATAATATTTTGAAATTTAATAAATAAATTAAAACAAAAAACAAACAAACAAGAAGACTAGCCATATGTTAACTGTTTAATTTTTTTTTAGAGACAGAGTCTCACTCTGTTGCCCAGGCTAGAGTGCCATGGCGTCAGCCTAGCTCACAGCAACCTCAAACTCCTGGGCTCAGGTGATCCTCCTGCCTCAGCCTCCTGAGTAGCCAGAGCTATCGGCATGAGTCACCGTGCCTTGCTAATTTTTTCTATATATATTTTTAGTTGTCCAGCTAATTTCTTTCTATTTTTAATAGAGACAGAGTCTCGCTCTTGCTCAGGCCGGTCTCAAACTCCTGACATCGAGCGATCCTCCTGCCTCGCCCTCCCAGAGTGCTAGGATTATAGGCATGAGCCATTACACCGGGCCCATATGTTGATAACTGTTGAAGCTACTTATATGAGGGTTCATTATAGTGGTTTTTTTTGTTGTCTTGTTTTGAGACAGAGTCTTATCTGTTGCCTGGGCTAGAGTGCCATGGCATCAGCCTAGTTCACAGCAACCTCAAACTCCTGGGCTCAAGAAATCTTTCTGCTTCAGCCTCTTCAGTAGCCGGGACTATAGGCACCCACCACCATGCCTGGCTAATTTTTTCTATATATTTTTACTTGGCCAATTAAATTCTTTCTATTTTTAGTAGAGATGGGGTCTCACTGTTGCTCAGGGTGGTTTCGAACTCCTGACCTCGAGCGATCCTCCCACCTCGGCCTCCCAGAGTGCTAGGATTACAGGCGTGAGCTACCACGCCCGGCCCATTATAGTGTTTACTTGTGTACATATTTAAAATTTTCTATATTAAAATGTTTTTAAAATTACCAAGAAAGGCTGCCTCTCTTTCTACAGAAATGTTTAAGAGAAGGCATACTACTCGGATTGGGATTGGATTATGTATTTTCCTAAGAACACTGCTAATCCTATGAAGAAATCTTTTTTTTTTTTGAGACAGAGTCTCACTTTGTTGCCTAGGCTAGAGTGAGTGCCGTGGCGTCAGCCTAGCTCACAGCAACCTCAAACTCCTGGGCTCAAGCGATCAAACTCGTCAAACTCAAACTCCTCAACCTCAAACTCCTGGGCTCAGCCTCCCGGGCATGCGCCACCATGCCCGGCTAATTTTTTTCTATATATATTAGTTGGCCAATTAGTTTCTTTCTATTTATAGTAGAGACGGGGTCTCACTCTTGTTCAGGCTGGTTTCAAACTCCTGACCTCGAGTAATCCGCCCGCCTCGGCTCCCAGAGTGCTAGGATTAGAGGCATGAGCCACCGCGCCCGGCCTAAGAAATCTTTATACAATCCCCAAAATAGAATTTCTCCTCCCTTCTCTATGATCTAATTTTTATTTATCCTTTTAGATCCTTTTCCCCCTTTTATGAGACAGGATCCCACTATGTCACCTAGGCTGGAGTGCAGTGGCTCAATCATAGCTCACTATAGCTTCAAACTCCTGGGCTCAAGCGTAAAATCCCTTTTTAAATCTTATCTCTTGTTTCAAATTCATACTCATCTCTGAACACCAAAGCACTTCCTAACCATGCTACTCAGCACGTCATAGATTTTGCCATGTAAATGATCTCATTATTTACATATATGTATATTTGGTTTTTACAACTAGACTGCAAGTACCATGACAGTGGGAACCATGTGCTATATTTCTTTCAACACCTTCATAATATACTGTATTATAGTGGGTAGTTGATATATAGTTTTTAATAGGCTACACTTGATAATTTGCCTATCCATGAGGGTTCAGAGAGCTTATGATATCAATACTTTTGTATCTGCCTGCCTGATCTCCTCTGACCCTAACTACATTGTCTTTTGGTAAACTATGGAGGCCCTGTAACTGGTGCGGATAAATAAGATGAGGTAGCCATGTAATTTTTTCTCAAAGAGATCTCAGTGGAAAAGAAAAAGAGATACGAGGAAACAAATAGCTGTTGTAGTAAGTATTAAAATGTTGAATATAGCAAATAATACAGTATATTATAGAAAAAAAAAAACTTAGCCAGCTCTGGTTGATGTTAAATGTTCCACTGTGCTAAGCAACCACAAAGTTTTAATTTCCCCACCCTTTAAACCTCCCCAAATATTTCAGAATATCCAAATCTCTAGCCACTTACCCTTGCTGCACAGGCTGTAACTGCAAGATCACTTGGGTTTTAGTATCTTCAGGGTTCTCCCCTTCATTTCCTTCAGTGGGTACCACAACCACATCCCCCACTGGGACACTCACTTCTGCATTAGCCATCTTTCACATGAAGTCAGATAGCTGAGGCTGCTGTCAGGAACAAGAAGCATCAGTAACTTTATCTGGCTTGAAAAGATGGCACCACTGGAAAAGAAGGCCAAGGTAATGACTACCAATTCCAAGAGCACCCTGGAGATCATGGGCCTCTGAAAGGGATGGGAACTGTGAGGAGGGGGTGACACAGGCTCTGATCTTTCCAGATATGCCTCAGTACTCATTTGCTCTTGTAGGTTTTCTTAGAATGTGTGACTCATCCAGTGTTCTGGAGCCAGCAGCTCCTGAGAACCGATTATGCATATCCCTTCTCAACTCCAAGTTGAGTGACACCAAGTTGGTAGCTTGACATCAGTGATGTTGGGAGTATACAGACCATAGAAATTGATAAGCCCTACAAATCAGAGTATTTTACTTTTCTGGAGAGCTGGTTTACAGCATACCACTAGTTCCACCCCAAACAGTAAGCATCTGGAAAATAGCAATCATATCTATTTTCTGCACAACCAGCCATTACAAAGGACCTCATCAAGTCCTTTGTAAATACTTAACTAAGTATCTGCTGACTAACTGAACTGAGCTGCATGGGAAGGGGAGGATGACTTACATTCTGTAGTTGTTTAAATGCTGAATTCAACTGTATGAACTCTAGGAACTTCTAAATACCTCTTTGCCTCAGACTGAATGGAGATGTGATCTTGCCCAACATTTCCCCTGCAGAGCTACTGAGGAAACCAGTGTCCAGCACCATGTGCTCTTTGACTCTAAAGCAACTCCAAGCATTTTCCCAATCTTAATGAAAACTCAAGAGGACCCCAGGATATTCTGCAGTTGAAATGAGAGAGTCACTTAAGTATAGGTAAGAGCACTATATTTATATAAATATGTGAGTATGTGAAGATGACTAGAGCTGTGTCTGGACAGAACAGGCACACAATAGATGCATGTCTGAGTATGTAACTGGTAGTCAGAAGACTCAATCCACATCTCAGCTCTCTCACAGCATTTATTTGCCTATAATACATACACTTAAGCATGGTACTCGGACTTTCTTTATTGCCCCCAAATAATTTTCCAGTCTTTTTTTTTAATTTTTAATTTTAATTTTTTTAGAGACAGGGTCTCACTCTGTTGCCCTTGCTGGAGTGCAGTGGTGTGTGTCATCATAGCTCACTTCAGCCTCGAACTTCTGAGTTCAAGCAATCCTCCCACCTCAGCCTCCTGAGTAGCTAGGACTATAGGCACATGCCACCACACCCAGTTGATTTTTTTTTTTAATGCTTACCTAAAACTTTCTAAAGAAATCTGGCACACAGCAGTTATGTGATACATTTTTGTTTAATGAATGACTCATCTTCCCTGAAAAGACTCTAGAACTTTCTGCCTTCCTATCATAGGGTTATAAATTTGCATAGGCAGCTATGCTAAGCTACACAGCTTATGGCTTATCATTGTGGCCAGTTCCACAAATATTTACTGAGTCTCTACACCGCCTCAGGCAGAGAGTTAGGCTTCTTGAATATAAGATGAACAATACCTGCTCTTAATAACTACAAAAGGAAAGAGCTGCATGAAACTATTGTATACTACAGGGAAAAAGGAATTGCGAGGTATTTCAGTACACAATATGAACCTCTATTACTTAAAAATTTTAAACTAGAAAAAAAGGCCGGGTGCAGTGGCTCACGCCTGTAATTCTAACACTCTGAGGACTGAGGCGGGGTGATCACTCAAGGTCAAGAGTTTGAAACCAGCCTGAGCAAGAGCAAGACCCCATCTCTACTATAAATAGAAAGAAATTAATTGGCCAACTAAAAATATATAGGAAAAAAATTAGCCGGGCATTGTGATGCATGCCTGTAGTCCCAGCTACTTGGGAGGCTGAGGCAGAAGGATTGCTTGACCCAGAGTTTGAGGTTGCCTGAGTTAGGCTGACACCATGGCACTTAGCCCAGGCAACAGAGTGAGACTGGTTTTTTTTCAAAAAAAAAAAAAAAAAAAAAACAACTAAAAGAAAAAAAATAGAAATTGAACATTTAAAAAAAGAAAAAGAAAATCAATGGACGACTTCAGCGGCTTGTCAGCAGTAGAACCAAAAACAATTAGGACTCTTCAGTCTAAAAAGGCCAAAAAGATATGATAAAATATACTGCCATCAATCCTAAATAATTGAACTAACAAATATCTTCAAAACTTGAACTATGCCGGGCTGCTTGGCTCACGCCTGTAATCCTAGCTCTTGGGAGGCCCGAGGCC